GGGGGGGGGGGGGTTAATTTGGTCTGGTCTATCTAAATTCTTAATGAAAGTATTTTTACAAGAATATCCTCTGGCAAGGCTTGTAAGCAAAGCAATGCAGCCTTTCTATAATACAAAAAAACCCTACAAGTTAACTAGAAATCTATCTTCTTTGTCATAGATAATTTTCCAAAATGAACAGGCAGGGGGAAAAACACAGAAGCGGAACCAATCTTATGTTAAGCTCAACTGAAAACAAAGTCCACTTTCTTCTTCTCCTTTCTACAGCCTTTGAAATCACCCTCCTTTCCAAATGCACAAGTTTATAATTTTAATGTCAACCTACTTATCTTTCCCTTTTTCCTCCATGCTAACAAGTAAATAAATAATTCAATTCAAAATGTCAATAATTCTTTTTCTCCAAATGCTTGCTTCCTATATTCTTCTGTTTAAGCCTAGCTACCTATCATGGCTGAAATCAAGTTCATCTGCCACCTGGCTACCACCACTGCTCCTCTGAAATATTCTACCAACTTCCTTCAGGTCAGAAGCTTCATATTCTTTTACAGCAATCTACTCTACCATGCCATGTCTTCTGTACCACCGTTCCCCATGTATCTTTCCTCACACAGTCCTTTTCACTTTGCAGGTCCCCTAAACCCTTCATTCAAAACCCACCTTAAAACAAATGGACCAATCAGCCTTTCTCCAAGGCCTATCAAAGTTAACATCCCCATCTTTCAGCAAAAACCGAAGTCTCACTATTGTGAAAACTAATGGGACACAAACCAAAGCTGAATATTTCAAGACTTCAGTTAAAGGAGAAGCACTGTTTAAATCTTTCAAAAACAGGGTTAAAAAAAAAAACTTTTAACTAAAATCCAAGTTAAATTGTTTTTAAACAAGTCATTCAAAGCTATGAACAGTATAACTAAACCTCTCCATGGTACAAGGAAACTACAGTCCAATATAAATTCCTCGAAGTCAACTTCCCCAGTTCTCCTATCCTTCAGTAAAAAATAAATAAATAAATAAATAAATAAAAATTAAGACCTGGTATTTCTTAAGTTAACTATGTACAAGAAAACACTTAGGCTGTTTTATGTACCATGAAAGTAAAAGATTTCATCTTTTGCACTATTCTGCCTACAAGGGACAAAACTCAAGCCTGCTGAATTCAATTTCCTTTCTTCTCCACTAGAGGGCAATTTAGATTTTAAAAATGCCTGCT